ACGATTTCGAAATCGTGAAAGCTTTGAAAAGGTGTGGAGACTTTGGAGACTTTGAATAGGTGTGGCCGAAGTTACACTTTTTCTTCAACATAAGTGGGACTACACGTATTCTTCTGCGTCATAGCTTCATATTCCACCCATTTTAATGGAGTAAGCTACGCCTATTAAATTTTGCACAAAATATGTAACCAGGTTTTTCACTTGAGGAGCTAGGCAGGCTGGTACAACGACACACAATGATACCGCATAGATAAACAATGCAGACACGAGTTGCGCTGTTTGGCTGAAGCAACCAATCGACATGATTTGATCGCTTAAATGCTCTAGTTTATCCAACAGGAACTTGACTTATGCCTAACCTTAATAACAAATCCAGATAAAGTGTGACAAACAAGGATTATACCGACCCACTATGGCAAGAAGATCCATCTGTCATTATGACCAAGAATTGTGAAATGAATCCTTGCACCTAATTGCAAAATAAGGAACACAAGATGGGGGATGAAGATCCTCCATACATTAATGATGCATAATTCTTCACAAGATTCCTCTTCGTTATTAGCTGGTTCACTGTTATGCTTCATTGGCGCTATCGTCTGCTAAAGGAGACGTCGTGTTAAAATCTCCAACACTAAAATTAAGTCAGAAGGACTGCATAGTGGTTGTTACCAAAATTTCGCAATTCCAGTGATGGGGCCGATAAAGGTGCATCCTGTTTGCATAAAAGCATTTTTCGACAGAAGCCGTGAGAATAGTGGGATGATTTGAGCCATGATGAACACAATTGATGGTAGCACTCTCAAATATGAGCTTAGGTGGTTTCGAAAAGGTGAGGGTTGCATATGAGTTTACAACTCCCTGTCGATGAGAAAGAATGGGAGGGAGACATCACGCAGTGGTTGCAATTAAGCCCACAATAATCGCACACAGTCGCGCGTTAATGGTTAGCAGTGTGGCGAAACCTGCATGACATTCCCATTGTGCAATAGTAAAAGCAATGCTAAAATATACACTAAAATTGTCAGAAGGTCTGCATAGCGGTTGTTGACATCTCCATAATGAATAATTTCTTACTGACAAATGAGGAAATATATCATGCGTATCTAGTTTTGTTATTCAATGTTCAACTAAAATGGCACAAAATAAATTTACTAAAAAATAACGCTATTCTACTGCCGATCTACCCATCTCCCTCGAAGGCGGTATTATGGCGGTGTTCAACTAATATAAGCCTATGCTGAATTGGACTAATAAATTAAGCCTAATTACAACACATGTAGTTGCATTAATTGGCTTCAAATTTAACGCCTCTGTTAATATCGTTGGCTAAGAAGCCATACAGAGGCGCCGTGAATAGCTCAATGTGGTTTTAACATCAACAGAGGTCCACTGTAAGATGTTGATGAGACTGTGTACAATAAACCGGATAAAGACGAGAGGATTGCATGGCACTTGTCCTATGGGTAGCAGATCTACAATCGAAATAATGACACTACCAATTATTGGATTTATTTACTCCGATTGACCTTCCAACCAAATTCAATTAGCTAAATGCTTTCAATTGTAGGTGTACTTTGATTAAAATGCAAGATATTTGCATACGAAAGCAATTTACCAACCAAACCTTGACAGCCACTATAGGTAAGTCTAATTCATAGTTAATGTCGCGCAATACGTGTGGAGACGAAATGAGAGGAAAGTGTAGGCGCAGATTTGAAAGGACAGCTGTGATCATTTCAGTGTCTGTGGACTGTCAAACGCAAGTTATGGTCTTATTACTGTCAAATACTTGATCACATCCGGTTTCTGATCTTGGATTTGGGGTCGATACAAAGCATGAGCGCTGTAAAAGAAAACGTCAAAATACGAAGACTCAAGTTGAGATCACGGGAATGTATAAGAATGCTTTACTACCAACAGGCGGTAAAAGTGAAATAGCAAGTTGGTATCCTTTAGATCAATTTATTAAAATGTCTGCAGAAAAGGTTGAGGCACAAGAAATAATGTTGCGCCTTAGACACGTACACAGGCATTTTCAAAGACCAAACAGCAGCAGCTGCATGATCGCATTTATAAAATTCGATTTCAACCAATCTGCTCTTGTGCTTCATTTGCCCATTATAACCCATTTTCACTTCTTATTTTTGCGAATACATCACAAATCGACCCTAGAGATAAATGTGAGCAAACCCAGCCTCTCTCATTACCTTTTACTGTCACTGTAAACTTCATATGATGGTGAACCCTCATCAGGACATTTCATACTACCGCAAGAAATTGGAGAAGAGGACGGATAGAAGACCAAAATAAAAGCTTCTGCAACATTCAAATAATAGAAGTGTAAATACTGCGCTCTGTCGATAGTTCTTGCACGCTTTGTTGTTCCTTTATCACGCATTTGCTCAATGCTCATCCCCTGTTCCACCCTTTGCATTCCCTTATTCTGATCTCGTTTCGGTCATTGGGACTTTTAACAAATTTGCTGTAATGAGCGCTAATACTACATATTGGATTTAACACTTCGGCCTCTTTTAGAAAAAAAACAGACTCAAAAATCGGATTCATCTATTGAACAATTGTGCTTAAATCATTGGCCACATGATGAATAGGTAGTCAGAAGATGGGATCGACAACGGAATTGGAATGACTTAGATAGTAGTCATTGCCCCTCAATCACTATCTCAAATATTGTTGCTACATGTTAAGTTTAGCACTTACTACCGCATTCTTGGTCGCGATTTGAGTTTTCGAATTTGAGCAGACTCTCCATATTCACGAAGCAGTCGCAGTGCAAGGGTGGTTGTCTGTGCAACATACAACTATGCTTATTGCTGGTGCCGAAGCATTATATCCTGCGTGTTTTGTTGGGCCACAATTAGGGGCCGCATCAACACAAAACTTGAATTCTGCGAAAGCTTTCACCATGGTATTGAAGTGACCATGATGGCAATGGTTACCAAAAAAAATGAGCAAAGAAATTGCAAAAAAAGCAGACGCAGAAGCGGAGGAGGCGGTAGCAGCAACACCATGGGGATGCACGATGGCTAGTATCAATATTAGTGAGACAGAGTTATAGAGATGGCACAACCATTTCTGACTACCTTTTGACATTCTAGCAGTTCAATAAGTGTCGAATGGTAGCGTTTATCCAACACCTCCATTCTGATGTTGGGCATTTGGTTGGCCTAAATCAAATCCCCAAACCAGAGCAGCGACGCCGTAGTCATCATCTTTGAATCCGTGGTTAGTATACCTGTACAAATCGCTAACTCATTGGAAATGATATTGCATTTTTTGGCAACCTCCAATTAATTAATATTGAGAAAGTCGGGTTCGCCGTTTATGTATGGGCCCGAGTAATCAAAGAAGCAAATCAAACCAACTATTTGTTTAATTGCTTTTTGCCCTTGAGAAAAAAAAGAGTCATTAACAGTGTGATGAAATATTTGACGGCGAGGAAGTGTTTAAAAATTTGAAGGAGCAGACTTACCCAAATAAACCTGAAATTGACATTGAAAGAAGACAAGTGTTTGGCCTCAACAGTACAGAAGGGTTGGCCATGAATCGCACACAAGGAACCAATCGATAAGATGTGGTCGTTTAGTAGACCCATGGACACCGGTCGCCTAAATGATCGGAGATCTGGTGGCTAACTTTCTCTCATTAGTGACCATATTTGGCCGTCCTCATCTCTATATAAGCCAACTATTCTACTTCCAAATCAACTTTTTGGTTGGACATCTGGTAGGGCAGCCAGGTGCTTTAAGCCCTCATCTGTTTATCGCCAGTCCGTTCATGTTGACGGTGGTGGATTTCGGGCTCAATAGCTGCGACTTAAGCAGTGAGATTCGAAAAACATTTTCAAACAACTCAAGCGTGACTTGTGAGGAGCAATTCTTGTAACTTTTCTGGTGACTTATGTTTTTGCATTTAAAGTTGAAGTTTTAGTCATTAGGCAGTTACAAGATAAAGTCAAGGGCACAAATTGCATTTTCAAGGCAAGGGGAATGCAAAGAAGCCAAAAGTGTACCAGGAAGCATCTCGTATTCAGCTTTTGAGGTGTATGCACATGCCTTAATATTCAAGATGCCTACTTCACAGCCATCGTGCGGGAAGGCAAGCTATCCGTCAGAACTTCATTCAGGTAACCTTGGACCTGATGATGATTTAGTGAGACGGTTTGGTAAAATATTGCAGAGGAGAGAAAGGAGGAAATGTACCCTACTTGCAAGTAGATCGTCATATAGCTTGCTGATAGGAAAGAATCATAGGATGCTGCTGTTCACCTATTGAAAAGCAGTTACGAAATCGACCTTAAAGACCGTATTAACCTGCACTGCGAACCATCTAAACTGGTAGTCTGATTTATTTTGAATGGTACTTGTAATAATCACGAGACCTGAAATGACCTCTGCATAACCATCATCATCACCACTCATTGTGGCCAATAGAAAAGCTGTAGACACATTTTCCCCGGTACATCAAAATTTTTGCATACGTGCACTTGTCGTGCAGGTTTCAACTCAAACGGCCAGCTGCATATTTGACTCTGTAAGAACAAGCTCTATTCAGTCGTCTGCAATCAACGCTGTAACCCTCCAATATTACCCTATGCATCGCTCTTACTGCAAATGGGTGTTCGCAAATATTATTTAAGTACTGGCTACTTTAACTTTGTATAAAGAGTAATATGGATGTCAATAGGGTCAGAAAGACCCCCTTTTGCGATTCTCAATAGATTGCCTACTTTGCACCTAATTGCCAAAATTTTGCAATGTCTCTCAATCTGCACCTTCAATCCATTCCTTTGATTGACCAGCATTACACGTCGCAAGACTTGGACTGTGTTACCGACAAGTACAAATTCAAGACAAATGGAAATGCAATGCAGTGAGTGCATGCAAGTGGGACTTAACCAGTGTTTTCAGTCGTCAGCCAGCAGTAACACACTGCACGTCCTATCCGTATTGTGGATTCCTTTACCACAGAAGGCCTATACTTCTGTACTTGCGGCTCGCTATATTCCAACAGCAGACAAATGGGTGACAGTCAAGTTCTTTGTATCCTCAGTGCTGCAGTAGAAACTCAACAGGATTCAATCTCAAAAACACAAGCACCCTCAAGTAACGTAGGAGCAAAAGTGAAGAGAGTTGTTTGGAACGCCCGCATTGACTGATTAAAGGGCAGTCAGGCAGCGTGCTTTTCATTGCGTTCACTCGTATCCCTGCTAAAAGTGCTGCTACTATCGCCACAGCCATCCACTCCTATATCTGCATCACCAGCATCTCTGAGCCACAGAACGTAAATTGCTGGCTACAGATGGAACCACCATTTGGCCAGTCACCACTACTCCACTACACTCTCCACTTAGGCCGATAAATTTTCAGTCAAATGAAATCTACCAGCAAGAAATTTTTCACCATCCGCAATCTTTCTATTTCACACGAGTTAGCAAGCTAAGCTTCCAGTGTGACCTCTTCTTCCAGGCTTGATTACCACTCCATTCCATTAATGCTTCTCCTATTTTTCGTAAGGAGGAAAATCGGGGACTGCAGGGACAGAACTTGAACTTTGTAAAAGCGAATATATGTAACTAAAAACGGCGGGCTGAAGGCACAGAAGTGTATAAGAAGCTTTAATACAAATGCAGATTTGGAGTTAAATGCTAAATCCACATCATTTCCACAATGCTATCAAATAGTCGCAGAAAAGTAGGAGACAGGAAATGTGATGTTGAGCCCCAGACACGCACTCAGGCATACCCACAGACATTTTGAGTGTATACAAGGGTTGGCTGCAAACCACACTGGATGAATGGACGTCCGATGCAGGCCTTTCGCACGCATAGCCGCGGATCTGGTGGTTATCTTACATTCGACCTCAACGGCTGTGAAGTCGGCATTGTGAATGTTAAGGCAAGTGCGACAGCACCAAGACTAAGTTACAGAAGGTTTTTCCACAACACTTACGGTCAGTTGGAGAATTCCGCGTACATCGCCGGGGCCCGCTTTTTTGTTCAGCGATTGCGTTGTCGTGTATTCAGTTGCATGGTAAAGAGAATCCACTCATAGGAAGCATGCTCATTGACCGCAAATGAGCCAATAAACTGGAGTCTTTCATAAAAAGTTTTGCATATTTAGAAAGTAGAAATAACCCTATTTAAAAGTTGCCCTGAATATCGTTGTCTAAAAGGCATAAACCATGGATCCGACTTCATCTCAGCATTGCTTACCTATTGAAACCATCAATTTTACACCCACGACTGTCAGGAGGATGAGTGAGCGCCACTGGACTGACAAATTGCACATCCACCTGAAGACTGAGACTACATGCAGAGGTGTTGGCTTACACAGAGATGAGGATGGTTAAATATGGTTACTGATGAGCAAAAGTTAGCTACTAATTCTCGGTTCATGCATGCGATTGGGGTGGAACGGAAATGAATGACCCCCTATTTGTCTCCAAAAAAATATGATGCGACACAAAGGCAAAATTTGTAAATAGACTGTATTCCGTTGATTTAAAGGTATAGAATTTGTCTTTACTTGTGTGGTTGCATTGCGAATAAACTGCAGAAAAGTGAAAAATTGCCATCACTTTCCTTTTTAAAGAAACACTGTTGCACATCAGAGAGCTTGGGTGGCCAATTGGTACAATGGAGTGCACTTGCCAACTTAAACAGGTCTCTGCTCAAGCTATTACATTTCATCTTTCTACATGAACTGGAAACAGATCTGCCTGCTTTGTTTCTTCGTCAGTGTGCCCATTGCATTTGTGGCAAGGGATGAAACGGTTGACACAGAAATGTCTGCACTTGGCATCTCGACAAGTAAAATCCTACCAATTCTGCATTAATGACTCATGACAAATTACCCTTTATCTATAAGGACGAGGTAGTCAGAGTACGTAAATCTGTTCCGTTGAATATGTGCATAGTGTAGCTTTGGGAATTGTGATGAATATGTGCGACTTAACAGTCCTTAGGGCTATTATAAACCATGATCCAAATTTGGAGAAAGGCGAGCTTTCTACTTGCTCTAAAGTTTAAACCTACATGGAGTTTTTGCCTGCACTGAGATGCGCTGAAGAAGTCACTGTTATTTTAGATAATCTAGTGTGTTGACAAGGGGCAATTACACCAAAAGAGACTTTTGCTTGGCCTCATAAGATAATCAAACCCCTGTTTATCATGGCAAATTCCACGCATTCTATAAGCAGAATAGAAGGTATTAACCATGATTTTAAATTGCAGAAATACGGGTTACCGTAAGTGCCAACAAAACTACTTATTCAATGTCGCTCTCAAAGCATTTGCCGCTGCTTCTCAAATCATGCCACTTACATTGCAGACTTGATTCCAGAATCCATCAACACTACCACCTTTAATACGAATAGGCGAGCGTTGGACAAACGAGGTTGAAAAGCTGGACTTCCAAATCGGGTATCTACAAAAAGATCGGAAATGGACACAGTACTGGTGACTTCTATGGGGATGGGAATGGCCAAATATGGTCGATCGTGAGCAAAATTCAGCCACTGGATCTGCATATATGCAAGTGCTTGGTCTGCACCGATCAATCGGTGGACCACCTACCACCATTGGCCGCTTTGAGTGTACTTCACGGCAATCCCTCCGGTACCCTCGTGCTGCTGCTGCGGCATGGTGTGCGCGTTTGCCTGTTGCGTGTAAGCGTGCACCCATGCATGTGTCGCACTATCTCCTCTCTCTTCTCCGTGTATTCCACTACCATTTTAGCTGCATGGTCAGAAGAAAGCGACTACCATCTGCAGTATCTGAATCGGCTACATCCACCCTTCTGATTTTGCGACTACGCTTACCTCTGCTTACGTTTCCAATTGTAATGGAGGATATCTGTTCTGAGTTGGACTCGCCTACTGTGGCTGTCATATTGTCAATCGCCTCGCAATTGTAATGCTAACCCATTAGGTATAAAACAAGGGTGAATGATATAGAATGGGTGTAAGTTCAACATCCCCTTGGTGTCTATAGGCACGAAAACCCCTGATTTTAATTTGACGCTGAGCTTATGCGGAGTTGCTTCATGTAAAAGAGAAAAACAACCAAGTAATGAATGATATAGATAACAAGTAAATGCGGTGCAAAATTAGGCTATTGAATTCAGATTTTCGTATATGCTGTCAACGCCTAGTCACAGATGAGTTTTGGCGCATCACTTATCGAGCTAACTGAGAAATTTACTAAAGGCCACGAGGTACCAAAACGACATCTGCTGTAACAGCACAATTAGCTGCACGTGCTCCTTAGTCCTCATGATCTGGTTCGCCATTTGTGTGACATGATATTTTGACTACGCCCATGGATGTACAAGTGCTAGTCTCAGCTATGGCCAGGATGTGCAGGTGTGACAACACCCGTTGTTATGCCGCCGATTTTTTGGACTCTATAATCTGATGAATGATAGCAAGCAGGTGTGCTAGTTGAAATGCAGGGGCCATTCAAAGAAGATGTTATTGGAAGACGTAGCAAGCGTCTGCCGATAACACCAGCTAGCGCTTCAAAGCTGTGTGCCTCCAGAGGTGCCCCTAATTTCTCACACTGGATGGTTTGAATCACCCTACGAGTTTGTTACGAATCCACGCTACCATCTATCCGAGTGCCATTGTAATTTCACACAATGAACGCAGTCCTTGATAAGTCCTAAAGGTACACGACCGTGTCCTCGTCGTAGGAGAATGCATCGTACCCACATTTGATACATCTCCCTCGTAGTGCTGCCAGGGTATGAATGGCTGTGCACTTCTGCACTCTGCTCCACATATTATCGAGCAAATTTTCAAGTAAATAAAAACAGTTGGAAGAAAACTGAAAAAAGGCGCTAAATAATAAGAAAACATCAAATAATGTGGTGAAAGCAATTTGTTGCACAAAATCATTCATATTGCGATTTATACAATGAAAAAACACGATAAATCATACGTTACAAACCATTTTCACCTGATCAAAGTTCGAAGCACTGGCAAACACGATACTGGCATTTGATTTTGCGTGATAATACCTCTACGCTTATTGCATAATGCTGCGATTGAAACATATATTCCCATTGAGTTAAGGGGACTAAACATCGTTTGTTCCAAGTAGGGTCGAAAATTTACCACTAATGCACTTCATTCCCATACAAATGATGCCTGTCCATCCAAAATCTGGACGTTATTTAAATCGACGGCAAATCCAGCATTAGAGAGTTTCAAAATGACCACGTACAAAATTGGTCATCGCAGCAAATGCACATAATTCAGCCTTTGTCCTATATTTGCAACAAAAAACGGAATAATTTTTAGTGTGCTCTCCCTGTTGTATTGCGTTTTGTGTGTGCGTAAATATGCTCAGAAGAGAATTTTATCTGGTTAGAATATGCCGTACAAAATGCTGTTCAAAACCACTTTTGCAAAAAAAATACGAAGTCGTAAAATGTCGTGACATCAGTATACTACCATTCCTAAACTGTAACTGTTATATTCGTCACTACGATTATCCTGCTCTTCTCGCAATGACTCATTTTTGCAATGTTTTGCCCTCCTAAATTTAACTATTAATGCTTGCGAAGTCATTGTGCAAATATGTTAATTGCCCTGTACGGGTAACTTCTTTATTCCGTAGGAAATGCATGTTATAAGACTATTTGATTTCGAGTCTCAGCTTATTCGGTATCCACAATAATTAGCTGAGCAAACTGTTAAGTGGATAAATGACGAGATTTTTTTTTGTAGTACAACATTGTCCAAAATTACTTCTTTTCCCATTTTATGAATCGGTTTTGAAGCTATGATGCCCTAAAACTATGCACAGGTTTATATTTCTATTTGTGGTTCTATCCTAGTAAAGGAAATGAGTAAAACAAAATTAACAGCTTTTAGATCAACATCAAATTATAAGTAGTATAAATTGCAAATTTTGACTTCTTATTTCAATTGTTTTGCAGGCTTAGGTTTCCAAAAGCGAGTAGCAATTGTCCCTGATAAGTCCATTTTATTTTATTTCGTCTACGTGTTTTATCACCCTGACCACCTCACCTTGCCTGCTTTTGTCATTTTTTCATCTTCATAAACTATACCTGTATTGTTTAGAGGTTTTTTGTGTGTTCGTATGAATATATTTGTAGGAATAACTTTATGGTTTATGGAAGACAAATCTTCCGGATGAAGAGAATGCAGTCTTAGCTGACTCGCCAGCTATAGTAATGGGGTAAGCCAGTTGCGAACTGAATGAATAGCAAACGCATTAAAGAACGCTCTTATGCACGTGCCACTTTATCTCTTTCTTTATATTTTATCGTGAATGAATTCGGGCGTTTTGACAGTATTCGTTGGTACCTAATTGGAAAAATGTGTATGAACGTACAGTTTGTTGATTTGGTGAAATTAAATTCTACCTTGCTAAAACGAGTAAAGGACATTCATTTCAGGTCTGGTTGCACCATGTAAAGTAGGTGTTGTTGCAGCAATGTTTGACAGGAGTGTAAGTGTATGCTGCAAGGTAGCATGTGCGGACGCTTTTCCGCATAGCTCATTTGACAGAATTGAAATAGGCACGTGTTGCCATTTATGGTCGTATGGTCCGTACGCTGTTAGTAATCACCAAAATCGAGTGAACCATGTAATTCCAACTTTAAATGCTAGCAACCGCTCCTCACTTAGTCTATGCTTTCCTCTCATTGAAACCAACAACTATCAGTAGCAGCGCCTATTACCAGAATGCTGGTTGTTCAAGCATCACATACCACTTAGTTGAAGAAAGCCCATAAAATGAGCACGCATGACTAGGCAGCAACGCATTAGCCCTTGCTCAGTCTACTCCGAAGGAGAAGGGTGTAGTGTAGAGGACCTTTTCTTATATATGTCCTGACGAATAGTAGTGCGTCTCGTAGACAATGTTAGATGTTGACTTGGTAAGTGCATGGCTTACTGAAGGCCCGCTTAACCAAATTACCCCAACAAAGAAATCATGAATGTTTCGAATGCCCTCTTCTCTCATGGGAACAGCTGTCGCAAATTTCGGGGAAGACGTAGCAACCAAAGGCTGTGTGCCTCCACAGCTGTTCCTACTGTCTTACATTGGTTCGTTTGAACCACTTTTCCACCCTACCATCCATCCCAGTGCCATTATAATTCCACACAATGAACGCAGTCTTTGATAAGTCCCAAAGGCACACAACCGTGTCCTCGTCGAGGGAAAATGCATCGTCACCACGTTCGATACATCTCCCTCGTAGTGCTGCCAGGGTTTGAATGGCTATCCACTTCTGCACTCTGCTCCACACATTACCGAGCATAGTTTGGAGTAAACGGAAGCAGTTTGAAGGAGACTGGGAAGGGGTGCTAAAGTATGGGGGAACCTAAAATTATGTAGTGAAAGAAGTTTGCTGCACAAAATCACCCACATTGCGATTAGTACAACACAGAAGACATGATAAATGATATACTGCGAACAATT